TGTTGTTTCAAAGCAAGTTTTTCATCCCCTATCATACATACAAGAATGAATGGAATTTAAGGCTGAAGTCTACTGAAAACGACACCTAAGTAGTCGCTCTTGCCCCCTTTGTAAATTATTTCACCTTTTAAAATCCATGGATAAGTATTGTAATTTGCTTTGTGGATTCACCAGGGTAGGTTTAGTAACCGCAGTCTGCATCTTTAAATGCTTGGTATTTATTGCCATATTTATTTCTCCTCTCTCAGTTTGTGGAACACGAACTGCGACATCTTTGCTACGTATATATGGAGGAAAAAGGGCAAAACCTGGAGAATTACCGTGGCAGGTCCTGTTAACTGATGAAAGAGGAAGAGCAGGGGGTGGTTCCCTTTTGTTAGACAACTGGGTTTTAACAGCTGCTCATGTTGTTGCTGAGCAGAGAAACCCATTGTCCTTGACCATCAAAATGGGGCTTCTTAACAAATATTCAGTTCGTTACCAGCAAGCCTGGGCAGAAGCAATTTTTGTTCATGAAGGTTATAAAAATGATGATACCAATTTTAACAATGACATTGCATTGATTAAACTGAAGCATAAAGTCCCAATTAATGCAAACATCACACCCATTTGTTTGCCAGGAGCAGAAGCAAGATTTCAGGTGAAAACAGATGAGATGGGACTTGTATCTGGCTGGGGAAAAACTGAGAAAGGGCTCTCTTCCAATTACCTACTGTATGCTGAATTAACAGTTACTGATCAGCAAAAATGTAAAAATCTATATGCAAACAAGCGAGCTGCCAATGGAAAACCTCTGATAGTAACAGAAAATATGTTTTGTGCAGGAGCTGAAGGAGAGGGGAAGGATTCTTGTCAGGGTGATAGTGGGGGACCATTCACTTTCTTAGACAGTCAGACTAAGAAATGGGTCATTGGTGGGATCGTGTCTTGGGGCCTAGAGTGTGGCGTGGCTGATCAATATGGAGTATACACAAATGTGTATAACTACATTTCATGGATTCAAAATATTATGGTAAACAATTCTTAAACCATTTTAAGTTTGCAGTACTTAAGGGAAAAGGGAGCAGAGAGAGAGTTTCTATTTTGCATTGGCACCCACACATTTAACAGATCATCTTCTAATTTTTGAGCAACTTCAAGTTTACAGGACATCTGTCAGGCATTAGAAATGCTTTCAGGTTTTATAGTAGTCCAAGTGCTTAAGCCAACTTTTTGTAATTTTACACTGAAATGGTGTTTTTCATGTTAGTTCTTACGTGATAGTCACATGACTATAAACAAGTGTTAAATATGCATAATATAAATAAAACTTAAAAAAAAAAAAGAACAATTATAGGCATTTCTGGCAAGTGTTATTTTAATTACGTTTTCAGATGAAAAATCTGGTTCCGTTTGTAGTGGATGATGATTTAAAGTATAAAAAAAATATATTTGGGGAAGATAAAAACAGTTGTCACTGGCACAACTTTAATGTTCTCCCTTAATGCCTGAAAAAATATATTTTTCATTTTAAATGCTTTAGCTCTTAAAAATGAATCCTACAATTCAAAAGATTCCAACAGGATCAATCTAGGTAACTGCAGAAGTTCTGTGGCACAGCTTTTTTCAGAGGCTATGGGTAAAATGCTTTCACGCTAATCTTAAGTGCCAGTCTTGATGTTACATTACATGCATTTATAGGGAACCTTGCAGTTTCTTGGAGTTCGTTTGTTTTTGATAACTTGTCTTACAAAAACACCAGCATGGGTAAAGTTAGAGCAACCAAGTACAACCAAGATTATAAAATAATATTAAAACCAATATAATTTGTGCAGCTAAGTGTAATAACATTGTGTTAATGTAATTCTGCGCTCCCAGTTTCTGCGCCCCTGTTTAAGCAAGGCAATAGAGGAAAGCCAACATTTCAAAAGTGTTAGTAGTATGGTCTCAACCAGTCAAATTAGAAGACATTCAGCAGATTAGCTTAAACAAAGAGAAAGCAATTAGAGAAGTCCAGAGCATTATAAAATATCAGCTTGCTTTTCCTAAATTAACCTAAACACACACACAAATGTAGTCTTTCAAATTTATAAATAAACGGGCCATGTTTCCCAGTCTCTAAAATCCTTTGTCTCTCTAGTTTCAGTATTTTACACACAAAATGTAAGTGCAATTTGTTAAAAACAAGACTCCAAACACTTGCATGTAGTAATAATATCTTTTTATTAGCTCACTTAAAAACACTAGAATATGCAAAGCATTTAGAGAAAGTGACTAATAAAGTTTGAAAATACTTTAATAAATCTTCCAAAGATTTTGTCTGAGGGTAAGGGGAAATTAAAATTCATAGCAAAGGTTACCCAACACTGCTAACCTGTTAAGACCTGATCTTGGATTTAAAACAAATTTAAACAAATTAAAGCCATGCTAATGACAAAAACTTACCGTCAGGTTCCTTGAAGGGATGCCACACTTTAGTCTTTGGAGGTTCCAGAGTACCATTTTAAAGTGTTACTCAGCAGCAGTAGCTGGTAATAGTGCAAGTGCTAAAATGCAAAATTCACAGATGGTACAGAGTTTCGAAATCATCATGATTTAGGTTCAGAATCAAAATCAAGCAACTCTTTGCAGAGGGATATAACTAATGAAAGAGGTGGGATTGCTTCTGAATGTCTTGAATGTTCACTGCCCTTTTCTTTTTTCAAGTGTTCATCAAGACCTGGCTGCTAGCAATCTACTAGTACTGCAGTATTAGAAATTAACATTAGCGCACAATTACCCAACATTTCAATGGCCTCTATTCATAAGAAAAATATGGCAAACACATACTAATTCAAAATCCCCTTTCAAAATTAAGCTAACTATCCACATCAAAAGAAGAACCTAAGCTAGTTACTCTAATTCTTCATATTTAAAAATAGTAAATATACAGTATAATGGAGTACAGTAATAAGAGGATCAGTGTGGTATGTATTGGTTTTCAAGTACAAATACATTATAATAATTATTTTAGATCTTAACACAGCCAAGGAAGTAATACTGCTGAATGTGTTACTATTGCATACATTCACCTTTCAGTATAAAAAAGCCTCTTACTTAGAATTTCCAAAAACTATGTTTGTTAAATTGCTATAGGGGCTTCTTAAAAAAAAAAAAAAGTTAACTCATTAATATTCTTGTTCAGCTGGACAGTTTCTATTGTGGTCTAATGTTATTTTAGTCAAAAGCTTATAGTTTCTTTTGTGCTGGAATTATAATGGGAAGGACTCAGCAATTGGTTCCAAATCAGCAGATAGATTTAAAGATGTCCACAATACTTTGCTATGCATTCAGCTTCAAAATAAGCTGCTCTGGAAAAATATCAAAGAGCAATAACTCTAACCTGTGTAAGTGTTTGCTTTCCTCCCCCTTACCTCTTCTTCCATTAAAAAAAAAAAAAAAAGCCACCATCACAAATCCTAAAAACAAGAAAGCTTCCTTGGTGAAAATGTAGCCTGGGAGAGAGCTGCTTACCATTCAAGGTGAGGGCACCCAAACTTGTGAGAACTGGATTTTAGAGATACATATCACCGAACAATTGGAAAAAAAAAAAAAAAAAGAAAGAAAAAGCTGGTGGATTATAAAGGTGGGTGTCCGGTACCAATATATGATGAGTGATGGATCCATTTGACTTATTTTAGAGCACGCTTATCTGTAACAAACCAAGTTACTGCAAAGACACTTTACAGAAGTTCATCTCAAATGGATAAAATAAATTAACTGCTATGAATTCTTTGCATTCAGGGCTGCAAAACAAAGACACATATTACTTAAATCAGTTTTATTTAAGAATTTCCTACAATGACAAATCTTATAAAAAGCATCCAAACACGGAACTGCAGCAAACAGCATTCTTATGGAAATCTTACAGACAGTGGAACTTCCAGCCTTAAGAGGCACACTGAGCTTGCTGGTGAACTTTGCCCTATGAACTACTACAAAGTGCACCACAAGCTCAGTGTTCTCATCACAAACCCCATCATCTTCAATTCACATTACCACACTTACATATCATTAACAGAAAAGAACACACACCATACAGCATTCACAGCAGTTGACATAAGGGAAAAAAAATACAAATATTCATTTCACATAACACATTCAACTAATTGGTTAACTAGGTATAAAACCCACTTAGTCTTCCATATATGGATGTCCTTTGAATACAAGAAACACTCGTACTTTATTTGCTATCATTGCTCTCTGCACACTCTCTCACCAAAGCCACAGGATTGAGAGACATCTCGCCAAGTAAAATAAAATCCCATAATGCACCACCAGGTCTCTGCATGCGCTCTCTCCTTTTTCTCGCACATACCAGCCCTCTCATGCCTCGGCACCACCATCAATCCCACACAAGGTTTCAAAGTTCAAACAGCCTTCTGGTTCCATCTCACAGCCTTGCGTTCATAGCGTTGATACGACTCCATGAAATAAAGAGTAGCGGATAAAAATGGAACACCCACCGTCTAAGACGTAGCATGTGCAGTGTGATGAAGTTTTCTTGGATGAGAAAGCATGTAGACAGAAGTATTCCTAAGGCAGAATATTTACAGCACTGCTTTCAATGAAGTGCTTCTTCCATACACATTTGAAATGAGATGAACTGCAGAGATTAAATGAAGCCTTCATATCGTACTTTAACATGAGGGGAGACAGTGTTAAAATGAAAAAAAAACAAAAAACAAAAAACTAACACCGACGCCGTGTTCTCCAACTGGGGCATTTGGAGAGATTCTTATGGTGGGGATCAAATTAAAACAAGAGGGAAAGAATGCAGTTTCTGACCAATGGTTTTCATTTTGGACATGCAAAGAATTCAGCTAACCAGGAAACAAGGGACAGATTATTACAGAAGCCTTTCCTATCAAGTGTAGTGTTAGTTTACCCATCAGGCAAACTGCAGTTCACTGTCAACCATTCAATAGTCCAACAAGTCATGTAACAAAACTTATAAAATTCCTTTAGCCTTTCTTTTTACAAAAGAAAAAAAAAATGTCAAAAATACTGTTGAATATACTGCACATTGAACAAACTGATTTGGAAAATTTTAGTATATATGTAATTTACAATATACTTACCATGACTTTAGAAAAATTTGATTTCCCACCATAGAGTCAGCATCCGAGCCCACTGTGTCTACATACCCCAGCCCGATGATTTGGAATCCATACTTGAACCAAAGCCTCCGTTAAACCCACTGCTCGAGCCTGCATTTGATGCTGAGCCCCAGCCTATTGCTGCCCCCGAGTTGGATCCGCCATAAGAGTTATTTCCTGAACTGAAACCCTGGTTCTGCTCCCTTTGCATGTTGCCTTGAGGCTGGTTGTTTCCAGATGGACCCGACTGGTTCTGTTGACTAGCTAACATGCCCATCATTCCCCAGCTGCTCTGCAATGCTGCTTGGGCTGCTGCCATCATAGCAGGATTGATGCTAAAGGCTCCAAAGTTCATCCCACCACCCATATTACTGCCCTGGTTGTTTCCCAACCCACCTCCTCCCCCTCTGCTGTTACCAAATCCACCTTGATTCCCAAAGCCTCCTGGATTACCACCAAATCTTCCACCTCTTTCTAACTGTCTATTACTATTGTGCTTAGGTTCAGCATTGGATATATGTACGCTGATTCCTTTAATGATCAAGTCTTCTCCACAAAGAGACTGGGCAACCTGTAAGACATAAGAGATATCAGTGAACATAGGATTAGATAATATACATTTAACACTTGGTACAGTACAACATAAAAGTACATTATTCTAAACAGATCTCTAAGCTGCAAAGGGAGAGTGTACATTTAATTCTCATAAAAAGTGTTAACTGAATCAAACTGACTCCATCTAGTCTTAAGAACTATTAGCTGAAAAAAAACTTTAAGTAAACTGTAAGTTTGAACATGCAAATCAGTTGTATTCCAAGTAACATTGGAATTCTAAAACTGAATGATCCACATCTGACTTCAATTATACATTAATTAACAATGTTTCTGTATAAATGATAAATTGGGATACTGAATGCTTAAGAGCAGTTCTCAGACTTGGAGCAGACCACTATCAATCCTCAGGACTTCTCATAGACTGCTATGCATCTTATCAAACTTTAAATTGAAGAATGTGAGGTGGAGGAACTATAATCTGAAGGCAATTAAATGCAGTCTTGTGGCCTGCAGTTTGGGAACCACTTGTGTAAGTTTCCTAAGCATTAGAGATGGAAATACATAGGAAGTACCTACCTGATCATCTGCAAATGTAACAAAAGCAAAAGCTCGGAAGGGTTTGGGAATGAAGACATCTACCACTTCTCCATACTGAGAAAAGAACTGTCGGAGCTCATCTGCTGTCATGTCCTCAGTGCAGCGACCAACAAACACCTTTCTGCTACGCAAGGGCTCATCAGGACTTTGCTGGGTAGGATTTAAAAAAAATAAAATAAATTATTGAGTAAGATCTGCTAGTCATCTGAGCATGAAAGACAACGGAGTTTCTTGTACAATAGCTTATTATGCACATTAGGAATACGACAGTTGTTATAACATGAAGAAAAGCAACCCTCCACTCCAGATAGAACGTTACAGAAGACAGTACCATCTGAAAGAAATACTACAAGAGTGAGCCAGGAGTTACTCTGAACAAATAGTGTTGTAGGTTTCAGGACTGCTTCTATTTCACTAGACTTCAGAGGGAACCATTACATTCCCGCTCGGATACTATTCTGCTAACTCTCACAGAAGTGGAAAGACAAGTATATACAGCCCACCACAATCAGTCTGCTCTTCTGACTGGGGGTTTGCTTATGACTGGAACATTTTCTACCCTGATACAAACAGGACAGGTATATAAAACGAAACACACAAAAGGAAGATGAACTAGAAAAAAAAGACAACAAAAGGAAATGAGCTAGGTCTTTCCGCTGTAAGTATTCAGTTTGTATCCATATACATGGAAAGAACAACATTTATCTAGTCTGCAGGTCTGAGTTTTGTTCCCAGCTCCGATACTGACACAACTCTGGCCTTAAGCCAGTTAAGCATCCCTGTTTTAATTTTCTCTATTTGCCAATGTATCAGGAAGAGTTTAAGCAAGGACTGATGAACATTTTCTGTGATGTCATCAGGATGCTTTCTATAGTTTGTTTAGACACTTCCTCTGTACTAGCTTACTATTTTCTCCAACCCTATTCCACCTACTCCTCCAGCTCAGCTTCAGTCCCTTCTCCTATTTTCTTACTTTCATCCTTGCCTAACAGATCCTGCTAAAAACCACACCTTTTGTTTCTATGTAATTAAGGCAAAGTACCTTGGAATTGGGAAGTTTACAGTCGCACCATCTTCCATCTATCATGTGTCGCTGAGACATCACTTTCACCTGGGTTTCATAATCCGTAAATCGAACAAAACCAAACCCCTTTGAGTGACCAGTTTTAATGTCTTTCTTAACCTAAGAAGGAAAAAAAAAGTTATATGTAGTTATAATCCAGAAAAAAATCACAATACTATGAACCAGTATTTGTAAATTATCTATAATCCATGTTAGTTACTGGTCATTTTCTGATCAAAAAGAAGTACTACTTGCTGAAAGAGTGCAATGTGAAGTTTTGATTACTTAACTCAATATAGATAGCTTAGGGCTGGAAGGGACCTCAAAGATCAAGTCCAGCCTCCTGCCCCAGGGGCAGGAAGTCAGCTAGGGTCAAAGGACCCCAAGCAAGATAAGCATCCAAGCAGTTCTTGAATACGTCCAGAGTAGGTGCCTGCACCACATCTAGACGGAGTCTATTCCAGGTCTTGGGGGCTCAGACAGTAAAGAAATGTTTTCTTATGTCCAGCCTAAAACGGTCTTGTAGGAGTTTATGACCGTTGGTCCTTGTTTTTCCCTGGGGTGCTCTGGTGAACAGACATTCTCCCAGATCCTGATGAACACCCCTTGTGTACTTATAGGTGGCCACCAGGTCCCCCCCGAGCCTGCGCTTTTCCAGACTGAAGAGTCCCATGGCTCTCAGCCTCTCTTCACAGGGCCTATTCTCTTGCCCTCTGATCATGCACGTGGCTCTCCTCTGGACTTTCCCAAGCTTCTCGACATCCTTTTTGAATTGTGGAGCCCAGAATTGGATGCAGTATTCCAGCTGCGGCCTTATGCCATTCATTGCCTTATGAAATAACCCCTAGCACAGACAGGAATAAAGGCGGGGAAACCCCCCCACCTACAGACATTATACCCATGAAATCAGAATGCGTAAGTTACCATTGCAAAAAACAACGGGGTTCAGTAGGGAATTGTTTTAATACCTCAGACAAAGCTAAACTTAACGTTCAGACAAGAACTATAAAACACAAGTCTTTAAAGTAACAAAGCTACTTAACAAGAAACTAACACGCAAAAGCAAAACAAAACAGACTTTTTCTGGATCTCATGTGCACTACTCTAGACAAGAACAGAGCTGCAGAAAAGGGATTGTTCTATCTGAGCACGACAATGCAGCCAAGAAAAGCACAGCACGCTGCAAATTAGATTTTATCACAATTACAGGAAACCCTCACTATTTGCAGATTCACAGTTTCAAATATTCAAACCCATGCTCTCTCCCTTATAGTGTTATGGCAGCAGCAGCATCTGTGGGAGGTGTGTGCTTGCCGCCACCAGACTCCCGCCAGCGCGCACCATTCATGAATGCAGATGTTCATGAACGTATTCGCAAATTTCCCCATTCACAGGGATCTCAAGAACGTATCCCCCGCAAATGGTGAGGGTATCCTGTACTAATATACTACTGACTCATTCAGAAAGTTTGCAAGTGGGAGTCCATGGCACTCTCCTTGAGAAAGTATAGCAGAACTCTACCTGCACCATCAGAACTTCTCCAAAAGTGCTGAAATATTCCTTTAGATCCTGTTCAGTGGTTTTCCAAGGAAGGCCCAAAACTATCAAATCAGAAGTCTTCTGCACTGCTCGTTTCACTTTCACAGCTGATGACGCATCTGTTTCATCCATTTTTCTCTTGTTATCTGAAATTAAAACATGCATAAAAAATTATCCTCAAACTGCATCACCAATCATAAGCAGCACAATACAAGGATCCTTTGTAGAAGAAAGCATCTGTTGTAGGAAATTTAAACTGTAAAAGGGACATATGGCATTTCTTGTCTACATGTTATAATTCAGACTGTTCCATAATCTTGGGGCAGGGGCAGAGAAGTTAAAGGCTTAAACCCTCAGTTATATCACAAGTTCAGCTACTTTCTACTGCAGAACTGCTCAATGATATTCACATGCCTGCCTGATATATGTAAGCGACAGATACCAGCTGAGACAGGGCAGCTCAATCCAAACCAAAAAACATTCTCCTTAGTTCATTTTCTTTCTTTTTCATCTTCATCTTCCCCCTACACTCTCCCAATAACAACGATGTCTGCCTCCAATCTTGGCATGACTGTCACGTGGCCAAACATCTGCCACCGCACAGAGATTATTATAGGACTGGGGGCTTTAGAAGTTCCCCAAAAGATTTGAAACCCTTTACAAACATGGGTACAATGTTTTGTTTTTCCAAGTACCTTTAGGGTTAAATATAACCGCACATGTCAGAGGACCTAAAAGAGCGACAATCACTCTGTAATGCAGCCACAACTGACAGGTAAGTTCAGAAACGCAGACAACAAACCTTTGGGATAATTAACGACATAGACCAGATTTCCCCAGCCCGCCTCTGGGGCATGCAGGATTCCTTCCACCAGCCGGACTCCCCTCATACACTGAGACACCGGGTTCCTGTAACGTAGGCCACACGCTCCTGGGAACTGGGCAGTGACCGTCGATAGCAAGACGGTGCCATCATCCTCCGAGGGGATCTCAATGGGCTCGTCGTTCTCGTCTTCGGTGACTCGGATGTACTCGGACATCTTCGCTGGAGGATACTAATGGATTAGAAAGAAAAAAAAAAAAGCGACGCACAGAGATAAGCAATTTATTTCTTTCTACTTAGGGTGGCATTTACAGTCCTATTCGTTTCGACACGGTGCATTTTGCCGCAGGACATCCCAAATACTTATGTTCTAGGGCACTAGTAACAACCCCCACATTCTTTGTCGTGCTTCGTGCACTACTGACGTTGACGCTAGTGCCGAGAGACCCGGGGAAGTGTGCGGTGACCCCCAAAAGCATCCCTCCGCCTCCCCCCAACTGCTCAGAGGGTCCGATAGAAAGACGGATTGCGCCCTGCGGTACCCTGGGCTGTCACAGGTGCGGCCCGGGGGCCGAGCTACAGGAGTGGTCACAACCCCGCAGCTGTGGGGGCGGGAAGGGGGAGCAGGACGAGACCACTCGGGCGGGGGAGAACTGGAGGGGAGCAGGGACCGGACCATTCCG